ACTCCTATTCTGATTGAGATGTTTCGTACACTGTCTCAGACCCTCCTAGCAAATGCCCGGATAGTGCCCAATAAGATTATTACAGTTCCCTTCCAGATTCTTTCAAATTCATTATTCACCAATTATTCTGCCATTCGACGACATATAGAGTAGATTTTTTGTATTGCTAGTGGGCTGGGACTGCGGCCACTTCTGGCCTATTGTACCAGCACCAGGTGATAGGTGAGTGTGATTGTGGAGCAATTTGGTGGATTGGAGATTGGCAGGGGAAACCGAAGTACTCGGAGAAAACCTGCCCCAGCGCCACTTTGTCCACCACAAATCCCATTTGACCAGACCCGGGATAGAACCCTGGCCGCCGCGATGGAAAGCCAAGGATTAAGGCTTGAGCTATGGCGCGGCCTATAGTCTAGATACTTATCTCTATCGGCAAATAACACACACACACGTACTTACACACTCACACAAAGAAAAACAGCGAAGTATTCACGTTTACATCTGAGTATGTCTTCCTACTATGTCTTTCATGCTATTCACATCTGCATGTGCATTCACTTCAAATCTAAAGCTAACGAAACACAGCAATTTACCTATTCATAAATCAGTTTACGCACCAGAAGGTGCTTCCTGTTGCCGTAAAGCTCTCCAGCTTTATTCAGAAGACACAGGTTTCAGATTTTGGTAAGGTTACCGGCTGTCTTGAATTAGGTTATTCATGCTTCTCCTCAGTGTTTCTGGGTGAATATTGGGGTAAAGGTAAAGGTAAAGCTGTCCCTGTAACAGGCCGTGAAGCCCCATACGATTGTGAGAGTTCAGGCTCCCACATCTTCTAGACAATCGGCTTACAGTTGGCAATAAAGTTTTCGGCCTTACCGGCCTTTGCCCCCCTAGGAAGATTCCTGGTACTCATTTCTATTAGAGGCTGTGTCGACTCCAGAGACATAGAGCGGCTGGAAGGATTAGGTAAAATGAAAAATTCTATGACATAGGGATTCGAGCCCGCAACCTTCCGGCTCCTAGCATAGTGCCTCAACCAACTACGCTACCGCATGCCCTGAAAATGGGGTAATACCTTCAAATAAACCATGACGTCTTCCTTCCTAGATTAATTTTACCATGATTTATTTCTGTCTACCAATCCCATTCCACGTTATGAAAGTTCATCAGTTGTAAAATTGTCATTTGCTAACGCAAGAATCATCAAGGTACCGCAGTAAAAATAGCTTTGTACGTCCACGTTGAGTTAACGGATGTTACTGTTGATAGGGTGTTGATGGATGAGTCACTGTGTCTTCTACACTTGAAATTATGCAAAAATTCTACCTTTCCCGATCAGTCGTATGAAAGGCGTACACAGTTTTCGGAGAACGAACAGTAGTATTATCACCATTAGTCCATTTATTATCGCAGATGGGATTTGTATCCTCTCCTTATACGAATATACGTATATTTAAATTAAGCATGCTTGAATGTACTTTAGACTTGGAAGTACTTCATCATTGCTTGAGGTTGCGAGTGGTTATGCTACATTGCACAACAACGTAGCTATTTCAGCAACCTTGCTGCAGATACCTCTGTTGATACCGTTTGTATAGCTTAGCGTCATCATGAAACTCTACCGTGATTTGTACAAATATGGGTAGACCATCTGTACAGAAGAAAATAGTGCATGGCGTCCTTTATTCTGTATCAGATATTGCTCTTATTTTGAGTAATTATTGATTATATCGAAAATGAATTATGCACCGAATTGGTCTGTTTTATGATGCCCCAAGAATTTATGCTGAAGTTATTGCTCCTAACAGCGTGAAAAGTTCCCCAAAATTCGACTTAAAATACTCCTGCTTGGCAGAAAGGGTTCACAGTTACAATTAACATTACAAACACATTAAGTATTGAAGTATACTGCTCCCTTTGGCCGCGCCATAGCTCAAGTGGTTAGTCGCTGGCTTCCCAACCCGGCGTCCCGGGTTCGATCCCGGGTCTGGTCAAGTGGGATTTGTGGTGGACAAAGTGGCGCTGGGGCAGGTTTTCTCCGAGTACTTCTGTTTCCCCTGCCAATCTTCATTCCACCAATTGCTCCACAATCACCCTCACCTATCATCTGGGGCTGGTACAATAAGCCAGAATTGGCCGCAGTATAAGGGACTTAGTCCCACCCCACTAGCAATAAAAAAATAATAATACTGCTCCCTTTCTTTATATGAATTTCTTAATTGGAAGTATGAAACTTTACCCTTTATTTATTTTGCTCTTACAGAATTTTACAAATATATCTTCCCAGACTCTCGCCACGACGAAAGTATTGTACGGTCTTAATCCAATGAAAGATACTGTGATTCTTTACTGGGATTTTTACACTTAAAAGAAGCACATTTTTAGTAATATATATATATATGGCCACCAAGCGGACTTTAACCTTATTGTTGTGGTGGATTGTGCATTGTGCAGGTTTATTTGTTGGTTGGAAACCAAATTGGATATTTGAGCGAAGACTACAAAATAATATTAAAACGGATTAGGTCTTTAGGTTGGATATAAATCCGGGAGATTCTTGCTGAGTAACCACGAGCTTTTTAAGGAGGCCTCTGCTCCTTGGAGTAGTTAATTATAAACAGTATAGAATAAATCCATTATATTTAATTTATTTACTATCAAAGCATGGAAGTAGTCGAATATACCCACTTATCCTCTATAAGCATTCTTTTAGAATGAATTTTACCTGTAATTCTTACAGACACATAAAATATGCCCCAATAACGCCATGTAATTTTTATTTCAAAGAGTTTATGTCTGTAACAAAGTAATGAACAGGGAATTGCTGTCAGTTAATAAGAGTAGCTGCGGACTAGTGCTGACAAAAAGAAAAATTGCGCCGCCGCATTTGTTATCGGGTAAACATACCCAGTTCCTTGGCACGCCTTATTTTGTGATACGAAATTCTCAGTTTGCCAGGAAATCAGGGATACGTTCCAAATTTAATTTTAACAGTTCTGCACAAACAGTTCCATAATTTTATGCTGAAATCTTTATCGTACCGCGGAACAAGGTCTGGAAGTGGGTAAATTTTCCCATGCCTTCAGCTCCTGGTTGTATCCAGATTTAGTGAACGAGTTTGTGAGATGAACATTCGGAAGGACAAACAACTGTAACTAGCCACAAGGGTTTCTTTATTCTACTCGTGCATATAGCATAAAACTCCTAAACGGGAACAGTGTTTATGATACAGTTACGACATCTGTTTATGGAATATGTTGCAACCGGATTCGCTTCAGTTCGCATCCAGCGATGTGGTATTGCGTGCAAGTGAATGATTTTCCTTCGTCAGTTATCAGAATCAATCTGTATTCAGAAACGTTCCAACTCAAAGACCGTGCCTTAGTTTGTGGTTTTCTATATTTGAGTACAGACATTCAGACTTAAGTGTATGTGAAAACCTTTTAAAGGGAGTGAGGACGTCTTTCTGTCTCCTGTGAGTTAAGCTTCGGCTACTTCCTGTCCTACTAAAAGTCATTTTTTATTCTGCTATAGTGCATACTGCTCGCTGTTGCGTTCTGAATAATAATCGACAATTCCGTTTTGCATATTCTAAGATTCTGACGTTGAAAATTTAACTGCTGGATCGAAATGTATGGCTGTACGAAGGCAAATGGTTGTTTCCGCTCATAGCTCACTTCTAGCTTTATAAACTACAATGTAAAAGAAATTGTGATTTCTATCTTTATTGGTATTATACCAAAACTGCTGATAATTTTGGTCAATAACCCAACTATTATTTTTGATACAAAGATACCGTCGTACAGCTAACAGTGAACCCTATGGTTACGCTGTGGTACTCATGCACGAACAATTACCTGGTGACTTTATAATCTCAAAAAGAACGTTCACGAACTCGCTAGGAAGCTTATCCGTCGGTAGTTTACATGTACCGACAGACTTTCCTCTGCATATATTCGTCACGGCTATTCGGTTTCATCGAATTACTAAATGGTCAAACAGATCGGTACGTCCGTTCGGAAAGCTAGGTCGGTCTAGTGCTACCCCATAACATTCCGTGTGCTGCATTACAATGCTTTCTGAGTTACTATAATAGTTAAGGCCGCGTCATAGCTCAAACGGTTATTCGCTGGCTTCCCATCGCGGCTGCCCGGGTTCGATCCCGGGTCTGGTCAAGTGGGATTTGTGGTAGGTTTTCTCCAATCTTCATTCTACCAATTGCTCCACAGTCACCCTCACCTATCTTCTGGGGCTTTTACAATAGGCCAGAGGTGGCCGTAGTACATGGGAATTAGTCCCACCCCACAAGCAATAATAATAATAATACTCTAATAGTTATGTATAGCCCAATCAAGTATTTATATACTCATTCCTTGAACTCTTTCTTGCACCCTAATACGTCAATTCTCTTATATTTCCAGTGTGACGTAATAATCTATACAGCAACGAGTTGCATCACACAATGATTATAGTGATGCACGTGAACAGAATTATAGTTCATCATTGTATTTAATGTCACAAGGGATAATTGAAGATGTAATTTTACTGTAGCTATGTCTGAAATCTCTCACATTTCAGTTTTATACACTTTTGGCTTATAGTTTGTTCCGAATTGAAGAAATGTTCGTGTTTTATCCGCGCATTCAAATCTGTCACGTTTATTTCTAAATGTTTCAAATTCTCGATTCGAAGAAATGTTTGTATACTTTGAGGATACATTTTCGAATCACAGTCTGGTTCATTATGCTCGTTAACTGACGTTTCGAGTATTATACTATTTACTTACTAATTAATTCTTAAATTCTATGTTCAGAAAATGGGCAGTGTGCAACTCTTTCTACACTAATTCGGGACCGTAGTCACAATTGCCCACATGATATGCTTCACCTTTTTCTCACATAATTTGGTGTTGCATACAGGCTATATGTTGAGCAGTTCGCCGGTTTACACTTCCGCGAGTTAACAGTTGTTCCGGGCGACCTTGGTGTAAAAGATCAACGTACCTGTTGGTCCTTGACGGTGAGTTGGGGGATGCTGCTTGTTTTCCTTCCTTGTACAGTCAGGCTGTCCTTTTAGTTCGTGGCGCCTTCGCTCTGCCGGTTGAGTAAGTTCTTCCTTGTTGAAGGCCGGTGGTAGTGTGAGGATGACTGCCCTTGGCCTTGCCAGTGTTCACCTTCACAACCAACACACTAATGCTGAAAGCGAATCCCGAACAGCCACTTTTCCTGTCTTGACGCTGCTGCCCGAGGTCTCCGCACTCGTTGAAGAAGAAGCAACAGCACATTGAGGANGGTAAAACAGGTGGAATGAACAGTGGGGAAGAGAGGAGAACCGCGGATGGAGGTGTGCACCAAGAAAAACGATGAAGTTCTCTGGTTGGCTAGAGCCACTACCATAATCGAGTTTGGTTTCCTTTGCTTCTCATATCATTCTCGCATTTGTTATTGTTTTCATTTTATTTATTGGACTCTTTTTTTGTTAGGAACATTTTTATAATGATATTGCATGCATCTTTCGGCGAGCCAATGAAATGTCAGAATGAGCGGATATGTTTAAGAGAAGCATTGAGCAGGTAGGTTCAGTACACGCAGCGTTTTATTATTGTGTCTATATCCCGCCGCCCAAGAGAATATTTGGAAATTATGTGTATGTATCACGTGAGCAACTCAGAACCAATAGCAGTCGTTGCGAAGGACTTGTTCTCATAGTTTTAACAAAGGTACTATCCACGTTGATACTATCTTGGCAGGAATGGTATCAGTTACTGACCCCTGGTCTTCAGCGGCTACGCTATAAATTCTGTTAATGTCTTATATATATATTGATGCAGAACAACGATTGCTCGGTTTATAGGAGTTTGTTGCTGACTGAAACTGCGGCCGCAGCTAAAGTGGGTAAGACTTTTCAACGAACAGCGGATAAATGTTCGATTAGGTATCATGGACATGGAAAGTTTTGTTTATGCAGCTTGTAGACACGTTTTTGTAATTGTCTACCTTTGTTACGTTCAGGTTCTTCGTCAGTCTGTCCGCATAAGAGATCGTCTCTGGCTAGGAAAGCTCTTGGCCATGTTTAGTATGCCTGCAAGAAGTGACGAACGTGACCAGTTGTGGCACTGTCCGCATTTACTGAATAGAGTCACTTAAACAGTCGACAGTGGGTAAAGGTAAAGTTGCCCTGTGTGCTTAACTAATTAAGCACTACACCATGAAGGCGTATCGGGAAATGGGTGTGTAGACCCACATTTTGTTTGACCCCGGCGCTAGTAGGAGATGAGTGGTCATCTTCACGCCCCGGCCTCTTTACCCTCGGGGAGATATCCCCGGAACCCATTTGATAGGAAGCTGAGTAGGCCCCAGAGCCGGTCTGGACGACGTGGAGAAGAGAAAATTCTTAACCCTACCGGGACTCGGAACTCCGACCTCTTGGTCGTCCAGCCTGTAGCCAGTCGCTATACCGTCAATGGGGCGGTTTGAAATTAAAACAGCCTGTGTTAGAACATGCCGTCTTAAAGAAAGTATGAATACGCTTGTTGCGATGCTGAGTATTTAGACCTAAATAAGAGGAAGTTGAAGCAGGATGGAGGCAGTTGCACAAAGAGAAGCTTCATAATTTCGACCCTTCATGTAACCTTTTTTTTTATTGCTAGTGGGGTGGGACTAAGTCCCTTGTACTGCGGCCACTTCTGGCCTATTGTATCAGCCCCAGATGATAGGTGAGGGTGATTGTGGAGCTATTGGTGGAATGAAGATTGGCAGGGGAAACCGAAGTACTCGGAGAAAACCTGCCCCAGCGCCACTTTGTCCACCACAAATCCCACTTGACCAGCCCCGGGATGGAACCCGGGCTGCCGCGGTTGGAAGCCAGCGACTAACCGCTTGAGCTATGGCACGGCCTTCGTGTAACCCTACTGGACTGTTTAAATGAAGAAGGATTTTGTGTAGAGGACATATAGCGCGAACTGGAGAGCAGGAAATGAGCTCAGATTTTTTTTAGAAAACTTGACAGGAAGCGATCACTCTGGGCACATAGGCATAGGCGAGAGGATTTTATTAAAAAGAATATTTTAAGAACATAATATGGAGATGTGGGCAATATTAAAATGCCTTATAATCGCGTCCAGAGGCAGGATTTTGTGATTATAGTGATGAGCCTTCGGATTTTGTGAAGGTATGGATGGATTTGAGTGCGTGAATATTTGTCTGTTTTTCAATGAAGGTCCTTAATCAAGTAATTGGTCCTAGATGAATCAGAGAACACCACCTTGTCACGTCTTACGTTCTCCGGTGGCGTATATGGGGGCATAGAAGTTATTGTTTACAAAGTGTAGATTGTATATAAATTTTACGTCTTTATTTGTCATTTGCTGTTGTATACCGAATTGAGGTCCATGTAACTTCATGGAATTGAGATTGAAATCCCAAATTTGAGTAAAGACTGTCAAACTCGGCTCCTTCGGTTAACAGAAGAATGTTGGTTCTTTGAGGACACTGGAGTTTTTCTCTTTTTCTTACAATGAACGGAGTACGGACGCTTTTGATTAAAATTGGATGTTGCGTAGTCGGGAAATGTTGACAAGACGTACAGGCTTGATGTGATCATTTCATGTATATATCGTGTTATAAATAGATATTACCCATTCCCTTTTACGCATAATTATATAGACTTTGTAATACGATAGTAACAGCATGAAGTTTCTACTTTTCTTTATTATACGAACAGTGTTCAGCATACGTACAGCAATTTTGCGGCATGGTGTTTTCTTCTGAAGACTCACGCATTTAGGTGTGCAATAATAGTATATTCCCAAGACGAGGTGTTTGACGACCATGAAAACGATGTTTCCAGTGTGGATTGATAAGAAAATGATCCTCACTTTGAGAGCTGCAACAGTGGCATAAGGCTCCATCTAGCAGACAAGCAAGTTGCGGTTTGGGTCACTGACCTGCGCAGTGCGGAGCTGCTTCGCTTGCTCCTTACGAACTGGAGACTGCATCCCTCTTTTCTTCGGTGCATCTGTTTGGAATTGACTCTGTATCTCACATGAAAATTCAGATATCACATAATTAGAGAAAACACAGTCAAAACTCTTGGTAACAGAGCCAGGGGCAGCACCGCAATGGCGGTGTAAGAATTTTTGTCACAGTCACTCATGGAGCTGAGTCCTTCTTGAGAAGCCGACAATTTGGCACCTACTCAAGAATTTCCGAGCATTTTATGGAATCTGAAGGTTCATTACCGTGTTCACAAGAGCCCTTGACTGGTCCCCATCCTGAGCCAGATCAATCCAATCCATACCATCCCATCTTATCTCTCTTAAGATCCATTTTAATATTGTTTACCCACATACGCCTTCGTCTTCCCATTGGTCTCTTTACATCTGGCTTTCCCACCAATATACAAGATACATTCCTTGTTTTCCCCCATTCGTGCTACATGCCCTGCCCATCTCATTCTCCTTGACTTGACCCTTCTGATTATACGTGGAGAAGAGTACAAGTTATGAAGCTCCTCATTACGCAGTTTTCTCCAACCTCCTGTCACTTCATCCCTCTTCGGTCCAAATATTCTCCTCAGCACCCTGTTCTCAAATACACTCAGTCTACGTTCCTCCCTTAATATTAGAGACCAAGCTTCACACCGATACAGAACCACAGGCGAACTATAATTATGTATATTCTAATTTTTATGTTTTAAGACAGCAAACGAGAAGACAAAAGGTTCTGGACTGAATGGTAGCAATCAGTGCAGTCTCCTCTTAATTCATTATGTTTGTGCTTGAAACTAAGGAACGCCGTATTGAGAGTGGCGTCGTAATTCATCCGTCCGCCTGATTTTGTATCAGCCAATTCACTGGTTGGCTTTGGCTGGAGTTCCTTATGGAATCTACACGTACAATTGCTTCGGTTGTGAATGTCTTCCTTCTTTCAGTCTATATCTTAGCGTAATACGTATTTCGTCTGTTTTAGATTTTATTGTGTGTTTTATGCCTTCATGGATCAGAACTATTCTTGAGAGATAACAGTCGCACGTGTAGCCATTATATGCACGTGTGTGTGTGTGTGTGTGTATGCACTGCGACCTTCAACGATCTGTTATGCTTCCCCTTTGGATTAACCCTTTATTGATCCTACACTTCGAATGAAATGTAGAACTTTATTTATGGGGGTGTCATAAAAGTCACTTGGATCCATTAAGACATGACACAGGTAACGAAATCCTAATCAGCCATTAACTTACTGCCCTTTTATGAAGCCCGAAAATTCATTTATTTTTACACGAGAGTTCGCCACCAGTCTCTGTATTGGGCGATATTAATCCACTCCACAGCCTCTAGCCCTCTTTCTTTAAGATCGTTTCAATAATTTCTTCTCATCTATGCCTGGGTCTGCCAAATGGTCTCTTCCACTCAGGTTTTCGTACTAAAATTTTACATGCATTTGTCACCTCTCCAGTTCTTGCTATGTGTCTCATGCTACCTCGTCCTCGTCTTCTACTAGGTCTGCTACTACTATTACTACTACCGCTATACCGCTACTACTGATGCCGTTACTACTACTGCTACTACTACTACTACTACTACTACTACTACTACTACTACTACTACTACTACTACTACTGCTGCTGCTGCTACTGTTGTAATTATCGTCATCAAGTTTGCATAGCAGACCTATACTGGGTACATTATATACTGACGCAGAGGACCGTCCGAACATGTAGGAACCACAGTGTACGTCAGACACCCTGTAAATTGTTTTTGTACGAAGTCCATTCATTCATTCATTCATTCATTCATCAGTGAATGCTTAAAAACCACTGTTCTTGTATTACCCTTTAAACTAAAATTGCATTTACGAATGGCTGAATATGTTTCTTTGGCACCATAATTTGTTGGTATAATGTTACGTTCCACGTTAAATTCGATTTCTCTGGCGTATATTCTACTATTGTTAATATCCATAGGTACACATTTATTGATATGTTGTGAAACGGAAGCATTTTGTTATCTTCTGCTTTCCAGCTTACGGTTTAAGATGGCCTTGGTTTTCGGAATTACCAGTATATGACTCGCTTCTCTTCCCTTTGCTGTGCCGGGAGTGGGGGGTAGGTTGTTAAGGTTGCCTCGAACATAGCTTGTGGACGATTTCTGAGTTGTACGTGTATAATTGTTAATGTATGCCAAAAAAGAAAAGGATGATATGCACAATAAATATTTCGA